TTGAGAAGAACAGGTATTTTAGAACGCATAATTGTGCTCATGAGGAACCTGTACAAAGACAAAGAGGTAGTCATTCAAATAGAACAAAAGGATATTGAATAGTTTGAAATCCGGAAAGGTATATATCAGGGTTGTATCCTTTATTCAGAAGTCCTGGTGTGGCTCCATAGGATAAACAGTCATACTCAAGGTCGGTTCGATTCACAAGGTTGGCAGTTCAAACTCACCAGCTGCTCCTCAGAAACCCTGTACAGGGTAATAATGAGTCAAAACCGACTCAACGGCACTTAAAAACAATAGCAATGCTTTATTAAATCTATGTGCTGAGTAAATTATATGAGAAACTGGACTATATGAAGAAGAATGCGACATCAGGATTAGAGGAAGACTCATTAACAACTTGCCACATGCAGATACCACAACCTTGCTTACTGAAAGTGAAAAGGACTTCAAGCATTTGCTGATGAATACCAAAAAGACTACAGCCTTCAGTATGGATGACACCTCAACATAAAGAAGACAACAATCTTCAAACTGGACCAGAGAAAAGATAGAAGTTGTCAAGGATTCCATTTTTCTTTGCTTCACACCAATGGAATCAGCAATTAAGAAATCAAACATATTGAATTTGCCAAATCTTCTGCAAAAAACTTCTTTAAAGTGTTAAAAAGAAAGAAAGACAGACAGACTAGTGCAATACCTGAGACAAGAAGATGGTCCTTAATCACCCTTCATGCCTAGAGCTGAACTCACCCCCATTAACTCCACTTTCAGTCAAACAATAGGTCTATAAAGTGACAATAACACTAGAGGTACTATGGGAGATAATAATCCTTGGAACAATCACCCATCTGAGATCAAAAGGGCAACATTTGCCCAAAGGCAAGAGTTCAGAAGTTAGGAAGGGTTTGGAAAGAAGGGGGAATGGAAATGGGAAACATGCGGTAGAAGTGGATAAGTGATGTCACATTGTGGGGATTGCAATCAATGACATGGAACAAAATGTATATGAAGTGTTGAATGGGAAGCTGATTTGTTCTGTAAACCTTCACCTAATTCACAACAAAAAAGTTTAAATAAATAAATGAAATGTTAAAAAGCAAAGATGTCATTTTGAAGACCAACATGCACTTGACCCAAGCCATGCTATTTTCGATCGCCATGCATGATTGTGAAAGCAAGACAAACAAAGAAAAGAATTGACACATTTCAATTATGCTGGAGAAGAATATTGAATATACCATGGACTGCCAGAAAAATGATCAAATCTGTCTTGTAAGAAGTACAGTCAGAATGGTCCTTAGAAGTGTGGATGGTGAGACTTTGTACTTTGGACATTTTATCAGGAGGGACCAGTCCCTGGAGAAAGACATCATGCTTGGCAAAATACTGTTGTTGTTAAGTGCCGTGGAGTCGGTTCCGACTCATAACAACCCTGTACAGGGTTTCCGAGGATGTACATCTTTACAGGAGCAGAAAGCCTCATCTTTCTCCCTTGGAAAAGCTGGTAGTTTTGAACTGCTGACCTTAAGGTTTGCAGCCCAATTCATAACCACTATGCTACCAGAGCCCCTTTGGCAAAGTACTAGGACAGGAAAAAAGAGACAGACCCTCAACAAGATGGATTGACACAATGGCTGCAACAATGGACTCAAATATCACAGTAGTTGTAAAGGTGGCATAGGACCAGGCAGTGTTTTGTTTGCTGTCTAGTTGGGACCAACATGATGGTACCTAACACCATGGTGTGGCGCTGTAGGAGAAGTAACCACAAGGTCGGCGGTTCAAACTCGCCACTCATCAGAAACCCTATAGCAGGTTACTGTGGGTTGGAACAGACTCAACGGCACTTAACAACAACACACCCATACACAAGTATGAATAAATGGCTAAATTTAAGGAGGTATTAATACTTTTTCCTCTTGAGAAATTACATTTCTACAACAAGCACTTCCAACTCATTTTGTCCATCTGGACAGGCATATAAAAAATAATAAATAAACTAGAACATGTCAAATTAAAATAAATTATGGGGGGAAAATTATCATCCCAGAAAACCTTTATTAATGTTCCACTGAAAGGCTATTAAAAACATTTTTGTTTCCATGAGGGATAGCATTTTTTTATGCATACAGAATTCTTCGATGAGAAAACCTGTATGAAGCTGTAAACATCTCTGACAGAAAAAAGTAAACAGCAGGATCAAGCTGGTACCAAATTTATTAATTAGTTTTGATAAAATATTTGGAAGGGGTTTAACAAAATGGTATCTTCCCCTTTGAAACATACCAAACTTGGTGGTGCAAACTGTTAGTACACCTGGCTGCTAACTGAAATGTTCGGAGTTCAAGCCCACCCAGAAACACCTCAGAAGACCTGGCAATCAATTTCCAAAACATCAGCCATTGAAAACCCTAGAGAGCAGAGTACAGTTTGACTCTGACACATATGAAGTCATCATGAGTAGAGCTGATTTGACAACAATTGGTATTGGTGTTAGCAGTAAACTGAAAAAAAAAAAAAAAAATTATAGGACTGTGTAGGTGAGTAGAAAAATACCTTGTATATTAGATTGTGGTCAAATGTGAGAAAATTGTTGTTGTTGTTGTTGAGTGCCGTCAAGTCCAAGTCGGCACCACCAACTTTGCAATTCAAACGGTTTTGCAGTCTGGCGCATTAACCCACAGCGCCACACCAGGACTCCAAGAAAATATTTAGCGAAAAATAAAGAGGTTTGCTAATGAACTCAGTGATGAATCGGCAAAGAACAAATAGTGTCCGTTGCAAACATTAACCTTGAGAGCTGTCCTTATCAGGAGGAAATTGTTATTGTTATTGTTGTTAAGTGCCATCAAGTAGGTCCTGACCCATAGCGACCCTGTATAGGGTTTCTGAAGAGTGGCTAGTATGCTTGAACTACCAGCCTTGTGGTTCAAAGCAACTTTTGCAGTCCAGTTCATTAACTTACAGCGCCTCCCTCCACTTCCAGGGTGAACAGCACCATGCCCAGTCACTCACAGCATATGGTGCACAGTTGTAATTTCAGCTCAGTAAAAATCTGGTGATATTGGAGAAGCCTCAAAAAAGGGTAACTAAAACAATCAAGGGTTGGTGCTGTGGATAAATGCGCTGGACTGCAAAGGAGGTTTGAGCTTCAAGGTCGGCAGTTCAAGCTCACCAGCGGCTCCTTGGAAACCCCATACAGGGTCGTTATGGGTAGGAACCAACTCGATGGCACAAACAACATGAAAAACTCTGTGACATTCTTAGAAAGAGGGTTCAAGAGGATCCCTAAAATATAGGTATCCCCATTTTATATAAAATAATAAAGCAAATATTTTCCCAGGTGGCTGGTGACTAAAATTCTTTTTCAATTTCTGACTTTCCTCTTTTCCTCCAGAGGAAGACAGGGTTTATTATCGTAAAGAAGCTGACTCTTTTTAAGAGTGGATGATATGGGGCTAAGTGAAGAATGTTAATGTTGTTGTTAAGTACCGTGGAATCAGTTCCGACTCATAGTGACCCTACACAGAGTTTCCGAGGCTGTAAATCTTTACTGGAGCAGAAAGCCTTAACTT